GAGGCCAAAACGCCAAGCCTAATGGGTTAGCGTCTTATTTGGCAGTCAACGTCAGTTGTTGATCGCTAATGCGCGCCTAGGCGCAATTATATGAGCCTAGGCGAGCTTTTTTTTTTTTTACAATTATTTTGAAGTTAAAAATTATTAAATGCTAATTTCTTTAGTTTGGCCTAATTTAAAATTAAAAGAACCATTTCAACCCAAAAGTCAAGTAACCAACGAATCTTATTTACGGTAAATAATTTCTTAAGACACCAGAGTTATTAAAAGAAAAATGGTTGTTTAAATTTGAAACTTATAATTTTGTTGGAAATTTTGAAAAAAATATATAAAGTTCATATAAATCTGTTTTAAATGTTTAGTAAATATTATTTTTAATTGATTAAAAATTAAAATAATATTAAAATAAGAAAACGCCTTTTTACGCTTTTTTACGCATATGCCTCGCCTAAGCTCGCCTAGCCCTGTGCTTGGCCTTCACGCATCACTACGCATTACGCATTTTAGAACACTGTTGTCAACATACGATATACGTAGAGGGACTTCTGATGAATATATAATAGATTAGGGTCCATTTGGTAATTTTTCCAAAGTTCTCCTTTACATAAATTCTTCTTCAGCTAGGGTTTTTAGAATATATAGACTGCTTCCTCTCGGCCGTCACTTCTCTACATTGTTTCTTCTCTCTCTCTCTCTCGCGGCCGAGTCTCCTACTTTTCAGGTTTTGATTGATTCTCGTCTCTTGAATAGTTTCGTGTTAATGAGTAATTTTGTTTGATGCTTTTGGGCGTTTAATGATTTGATTAGTTCAATTATCATTATTAGCTGTTCATTCGTCGATATTTACTCTTATTTCTGTATTTTTAATTTTGGAATTTCTTTCCTTCATATGCTATGCTGAGATTTTGCATTCGTATTTGCTAAGTATTATGGCATTTTGTAATCGAACCGACCAAGAAATCTGTTTAAGAAATGCATAACAAGTTGAAGCAATTTTCAGGGTCTGTTTGTAGTTGAATTAATAGACATTTAGATCTCCAAACCCATTCTTGGTCGTTCCTCTAATCACAAGTAGGAAGAACTGTTTTTTCACAGCCCAAATACTTTCTAATTTGGCAGAATAACAAAGCGAACTTGAATCACTCAAATCTCTTTCTCTTGTAAAATTCTTGTTCTGTCTTATTACTGATCTTTACACGTTAAAAAGATAAGCGTTCACATTACTGTTCTTAGTTCTTACATTTGTCAATTTAATGAATAGGGCCAGGTTGGTCCTCCTCGTGCTCGATCCAATTATCATTAGAATGGGTCTTATTTTTATGAATATTGCTTTATAACTTGGCATATAACAACAACTCAGATTTGATAAAAAAAGTTGATCTTGTAAACGTCTTAATTTGGAATACATCCTTCTTTTACCTAGGAGTTAATAGTAAGTCTTTCATCTAAAAAGCTCGAGTTGTTACTTGCCAGAGAAGGTGAAACTTATATCATAATTTATCTTCGACACAACCTATTAGTTTGGGTTTGTTTTCATCAAAGGCTTGATATGTGGAATTTTTTGTAGATATATAGCAGAAGCATAAACTTAGCCCTTGTTTGGCTCTCATTTTTGGGGGTTGAAAATTTTTAGAATAGTGATTGATGGAATAATGTGTGGTTGAAAAGTTTTAGATTTGTGTGTAATATTATTTTATTTGATGAATGTATGGTTGAAATAAAGAGAGAAAAAAATTAATGTAATGAAATTTAATTTAATGGGGCTCAAACGGTGGCTTATACATTTGCTTGTTTAGATTTTGTGTTGAACCCCCCATCAAGAAACATAAGTTGCTATTGGAAGAATTTATTTCTAATCTTTCTTTGATAATTTTAAAAGGAAAATTAGATAGTTTTGTGTAAAATAATCAATTAATCGGCATCTTACATTTACATGTATATATAATTACACATGGCAGACTGTGATGTATTTTGTAGTTTAAAAATGCTGATATTTGTGTTTCTGTATGTTTTTAAATACTGTGTTTGTGTACAAGGATTTGGCGTCCATGAAGTGATCAATTGTTCAATTTTTACACAAACTAGATTCTTTTGAAAATTTGTTCTTAAAGAAGCATTTTGGGGGCATGGTTTGGTATTCTCTCTTTTGTTTATGATGTAGTATTCCTTCTTGTTGGTAACTGTCTCCTACATTCCTAGACATTTTCCTTTTGTACTTCTCATCATGACTGATACTGGAAGGCGTTTGATACTAGTAAGTAGTAATTGATGAGTTTTTTATTTGTATCATTCTGTTTTTCCATTTACTTCTTTTACCCAGGTCAATTCTATTCTGGTCTGTTCATTACTGTTACCTTTCTGTTTTACGTATAACCAAGAAGTATCTTCTGGGGTTGAGGCAATGTGCTCAATTGAAAATTATCGCTATTATTTTCTATTTTTGCTTACACGATGCATACAGTTTTAATAAACCTGTTTGATTGCATGTCTGCCTGTGATGTGGAAGCATACATTTCGTCTCCTGAAAAAATTGTATCTTTGTGCAGAATGGATTCGCAAATCAAGCATGCTATCGTGGTGAAGATTATGGGTAGGACTGGGTCTCGAGGCCAAGTTACTCAGGTCAGAGTGAAATTTATTGATGACCAGAACCGTTTCATTATGAGGAATGTCAAGGGACCGGTTAGGGAAGGCGATGTTCTAACCCTCCTGGAGTCCGAGAGAGAGGCCAGGAGATTGCGCTGATGTCTCGATCTGTTTTTAGTATTTCAAAATTAGTGATATGATATAAGCTTTACGTACTTTTCGGGAATTCATGCAAGGCATTGAGGAGCTCGTGGCTGTTGTGTTGTTTTTCTGTTGACATTGGATGCTTCATTTTCATGTTTGTGATATAAACATGATTTGAGTAGTTTTTGTTCCAAGTTTCTTCGCCTTTTTCTGTTTTATTGAGATATAAATACACAACAATTAACAGAACATAATACTCCAATTAGTAGAAATCAAAACTTCAAAGTGTTTCGGTCACTTAGTCGACTATTGTTAAAATAAGTAGCTTTTTGTTTTCGATTATACATTTTAAGCTAAGCCAAACTTGATGTATTTCTTCTTTTTCAAATTTTATTTTATCTACATATCTATCAACTCCTTGATCTATAAACCGAAACTCAATTAGTGGTGTCAGAATAATCCGCCTGTCGAGATATGGAATCGGCATGGCCCGCGGACGATTCCTGTGTCGGGTCAAAATCGGCCTGCAAACACTTTGTTAAATCTAGGGATTGACCCGCAATCCATTAAAAAAGGAGGAAATTACACCCACAAAGATTTTTAAGTTATCATTTTCAAAAATTCAAAATCAACTTTAATAATACATAAATCAAGTTTTAATTAATCATTTTTAAATTAATTTTTATTTAAATCAATTCTACACAATTTTCAAATCATAATTTTATTTTCTCTCCCTCTCTCTCTAACTCTCTCCCCCTGCAGCTTTCCCCTCTCCCTCAATCCCCACCGCCACCACCCACCGGAGCACCATCACTGGCACCACCTCATCGGCACCTAAGCCGACGATTGATAGTTGCGGCACCGCTTCTATCATCTACCATATGCCCTAATTATTTTTCAATTTCTTATATCTCTCAATACACCCAGAGGCCAGAGCCGCCCCTATCTCTTTCTCCAAATATCCTCTCCAACGATGGCGACGAGTACAACCGTAGAGACGAGGATGAGTGTCGCGCACAGAGCGACTCAAGCGAGGAGAGGCATCATCTATATGCATTGCAGATCACGAATATCACTCTCTGTAACGAAGACGGTTGCTATTGGGTTTGATGTTTGTGTTGGTGGTAACGAAGACGGTGGCTGTAGCGGTTGTTGAGAGTTAATGGGTTGTGGCAGCTATGACGGCGAAGGCGCCTTGCGCGTTAAATGGTAGTAACGGTGGTTTACATGTGTTTGGTGGTGTTTTTTGTTTGTGGCAATGGTGGTGTATCTAGTGTTGATGGTGGATCTAGCGACGGAGATGGGTTTTGTTGTTGTTTCCTGTTTTAGGGTTTTACACTGATTTGTGGATCTGTGATTTTGTGGTTGGTGATTGTGCAGTGTTGGTGATTGTGGATCTGTGAGTTTGTGGTTGGTGGTGGAGGTGGAGGTGGTTTTTTTTGGGGGGGGGGGGTTTGGTGTTGGTGATGGATATTGGTGACGGTGAGGTGATTTTGCAGTGGATCGGCGCAATTGGCAAATTGGTGCCGATCAGCAGCAGTTACAATCTGGCCGTGAATGATTGGTGTGGTTGTTGGCGATGGTGGTACTGGCAGTGACTGGCGGCAGGGTGGTCATAAAAGTTGGTGGTGATCACACAAAAAATCTAACTGTGACCTTAAAATTGTGACTAAAAATTAATCTGTGACCAATAAATTTGAATATATATGACTGATAGATAAATGTGACCCATAACTTTTGGATCTATGACCAATAAAATAATATGTGACCTATAAAACTATTGATTTGTGATCTCGAAATAATTAGTGGCCTACAAAATTTTTGATTAGTGACCGATAAAAAAATTGTAACCTACAACATTTGTGATCTATGATCGAAGAAAATATGTGACCTGTCAATTTGTGACCGATGAACAAATTATGACCTACAAAATTTTTGAAATTTGATCGTAAAATAATTTGTGATATGAAAATTCTAATTTGTGACCGAAAATTAATATGTGACTAGTTAAATTGTGAATATGTGACCAAATTTCAAAGCTGGAACGGTCATCGGAATAACCACCGGAATAATTGCCGGAATTGGAATGGTCGCCGGAGAAGAGTGGCCGTCGAAATAATCGTCGGAACAGTCGCCGGAGAAGAGTAGTGATCGGAAAGGATGGTTGGGGTGGTGGAGGTGGAGGTGGGGTGGGGTAATTATATTATATTAGAATTTAATATTTAATAATAAATTGATTTAATAATTCATTAATTCATAAATTTTGTGAAATTCAAAACTTGTTTTTGTATTTTTGAAATGGTATAAAGTAAATACCTTAAAAATATATTGTTCCCTTAAAAAAATTGAACTTTTTGCTGACCATTAGAAGTCCATCATCCTTAGAAGAAAGGGAAAAAATCATGGATCCAGTATTATCTTTGGCCCAATCAATATTCGGGCATCAAGTTTACAAATTTCAAAAATTCGATTTTTCCTCAATTAATTAATTATATTGATTAATCAATAATCTGTTAGATTACATTCCTTAAATACCAAAACACCTTCTCTAAAATATATGATTAGGACTCCATAAATACCAAATCACCTCTCTAAAATACAAATCCAGTTTCAGCCCCGACGGAGATCCACCACCGTTCACAGATTTTCGGTCAAAATTGACGGCAGCACAGACAATATTTTCGGTCACATATCGAAGTTCGTCATCACCTGTCACAGATTTCCGATCACCATTCGAAGGTTTTCAATTCTGATCACAGTTGATTTTCTGTACTGAGTTTTCGGTTGTCAATCAATTCAAGTCACAGTCGAATTGAAGGCTCCAATCTGTGGCGAAAAATTGAAAACAAACGTTTCCTTTGCCGGCACCAAAATTACCCATTGCCATTGGTTCGTCATCTTCTGTGACATGCATGATCTCATCATGTAACCCAAACTGCATATGTGACCTGCAAAAATTCAACTTTACATGCATATGTGACCTGCATGAATTCAACTTTACATGCAAATTCAGTGAAGGGAAACCGACTGTGAAATGTAGACGTTGTGGAGGACTTGGTCACAATCGTAGAAGATGCAGTAGCTTGGTTCCATTAAGCCAAATTCAAGAAAGGACAAGCATTCTTTAATTGGTTGTAGCATGTCATTTATATAGTATTGAAATAAATTGTATGTATAGTCTGTGACTAATGCAAATTCAATTCAAAAACGATTCAGAAACCTGTGACATGTCAACACTTATATTTCATAAACATGTGATCTGTTAACACTATGATTCAGAAACCTGTGACCTCAGAACACTATAATTTAGAAACCCACAACCTGTTAACACTTATGATTCAGACCTCTGTGACCTGTGAACACTAATATTTCAGAAACCTGTGACCTCAGAACACTATAATTTAGAAACATGTGACCTGTAAACATTTATGATTCAGACACCTGTGACCCGTGAGCACTTATATTCCAGAAATCTGTGACCTGTAAACCTGTTATTTGAGAACACTATGATTCAGAAACTTGTGACCTGTTAATACTATGAATCAGGTACCTGTGACCTCGGAACACTATAATTTAGAAACTTGTGACCTGTTAACACTTATGGTTCAGACACCTGTGACCTATTAACACTATGAATCAGGTACTGTAACCTGAGAACACTATAATTTAGAAATCTGTGACCTATTAACACTTATGATTCGGACACCTGTGACCTGTTAACACTATGAATCAGGTACCTGTGACCTCAGAACACTATAATTTAGAAATCTGTGACCTGTTAACACTTATGATTCGGACACCTGTGACCTGTTAACACTATGAATCAGGTACCTGTGATTTCAGAACACTATAATTTAGAAACATGTGACCTGTTAACACTTATGATTCAGACACCTGTGACCTGTAACTTTGACCTGCTACAATGAAAATGAAACCAAAAATAATTGACAAATGTACAACTTGTTCCATTCACATAAACAACTGCAAATCTAAACTGTATTATGATACCAAAGATAATCCAATGTTCAATCCACAACTAAAAATAAAATTCTAACATTAACTGTACAGACTTTGTTCATCATTTTATACTAAACATAAAATTCTATCCATCACTCAATGACAATCTCTGCCCCTTTTTTATGCTTCCCCATCTTTATAGATTTGTATATGCCTCGATGTTTATACAGCCTCGATGCTATGTCCAGCCTAGTGCTCCCCATTTCATGACACTCCATGAAATGCGCAAAGCATATTCTCATGAGTATTCTTCGTTGGGTTTCACTCAAACATTTCTTCAAGCTGGTGATAACACCCGTTGCCATTGATGTGGTTATTTTTCCTGGAAACCATTTATATTGTGGAAGTATGAATTTCCAGACCTGCAACAGGAGTTTATGTCAGGTCACAGATGCAAAATGATAGGTTACAGTCATAAATAACATCATACACTCAGGTCACATTTCATTACACTACTTGTGAAAATAACTTCAAGAAGGCAATTAAAACATATAAACCACTAACATTCCCAAATGAAAGCCGTAAATAAAGTCATACACTCAGGTCACATATGCAAAATGACAGAGGTCACAGCCGTAAACAAAATCATACACTCAGGTCACAGATGCCAAATGAAAGAGGTCACAGCCCTAAATAACGTCATTCACTCAGGTCACACATGCCAAATGAAAGAGGTCACAAGCTCAAATGACATAATACACTCAAGTCACGAATTCATTATCCTTCTTGCAAAAATCACTTCCAAAATACACTTCCCAGATAAAAAACTCCAACATTCTCAAACAAATAACAGGTCGCAAACGAAATAAACAAATAACAAAACACAAAATTTTCACTGAACTCAGGTTACAGATGCCAAATGAAATAGGTCACAGTCATGAATAACATAATACACCGAAGTCACATTTTACAGTTTTTTTTAAAAAAAGGGACAACGTTTCGGATTTAAAAAAAAAATTGAAATTACCTTCTTCCTTGACTGATTGCTACTTGACCCACGCGATTTTGGACTTGTTGCTGGAGTTTTCTTGGGACTCACCGTCTTCTTCCTTTTGTTTGTTCGACCCGGCGTTTCCACCATCTTCTTCCCCTTCTTTTCTTCATTTCGCACCGCCTTCTTCCCCTTCTTTTCATCCTTTCTTTTCGCCATTCCTAATCGGTGCCTATTGTAGATTCTCACTCCGTAGACAAAAGGGAATGCAAGGGATTTTGGGTGGATTGTGGAGAGAAGATTCGAATGTATAGATAGTGGAAATAGGGCGCGAATAACGTGGAGAGAGAGGATTGAGAGAAAATAGGGCTTGAATGATAATGGAAGTTGAGATATTCACAAATTTGAAACCCTGAAATAACGGGATATGCGCGTAATTAATTAAAAGATTAATTATTTAATTCAAAATTTTAAAAACCGGAAAATTGAATAAATAAAGTCTAAACCATATTTTTAAAAACTAATCTTTAAATACCTGTTTTTTTGTAATTTCCTCTAAAAGAAAATGGTTAACCGTCAAGCCCAAACATTTAAAACGGACTGGCCTTGGTTTCTGATTTATTGACCCATGAATTGGCCCAATTGGTTTATTGGTAGGTTTATGGGCCATTTTTAACGAGTCATGAAAAGTAATCTTATGCTAATCGTAATATCGAAATTCAACAATTAAAGAACTATACACATGTTGCCCGAAAAGTATCGTGAAATCCAAAAATCTAATCCCATTCTCCTTCATTCATAATGCATTTTGCTTGTTCCATATTCTCCGTTCCCGTCCACGTCCAGCCTCAGCGAAAGTGCAGGATTGGAGTATTTTGTCATCCCTAATTATAATGTAAGCTTTCAAAATAAACAAAGTGTTAGTAATAAGTATTATCTATTAAAATTAAAAGGGTATTGTTAGTAAAAAATAAAAATAAAAAGGACAAAATGGTTAAGTGGATATGTCTCAAATGATAATTATATTGACATCATAGTTTTTTATTATTGCAACATTTTTAATTGCATTGAAGTTTTCCAAAATTTTCTCAATGTCGCCGCATAAGGTAATTTTTATCATCATTACATTAGTTAATAAATCTTGTTTTGATGACGATTTCCATCAAAAAAATCAGTGGAGTAAAAAGATTATTTGTTGTCTATATTTTAGATTAAAAAGGATAATTATGCTCCTTATTTTAAAAAAATATATGGACATTAACAATTATTAAAGACTAAATGTATTAATTAATGAAATATTGAGGATGCCAAAAAATGTGAGGACTAAGCAAATATTTGACACATTTAGTGCAATTGAAAAGCGGTGCAACAAAATTAAAATATGGTGTCAATATAATTATCCCCTCTCTAGCAACGACACTTTTTTTTTTATGTCGGGTGATTATATTGCGGCGATGAGCCAAGCTTTAAAGTCTGACTTTTGTAATGCTCCTAATGTTGGTATTTTGAAGGGTATTATAGATTTATTACTTGATGTGCACTGAGGCTCTTGTCGCTATATTTCTCGTGTAGGGAAATATAGTAGCTCACATCTTTGTCTCTTATTCTTTATCAAGTTGTGGATCAGTGGACGTTTTGTGCTGGACAAATTTTACTCTTCGATTTGCCTCGTGTTATTTGCAGTGAGTTTCATTAATAATTTGCTATGCAATTTCACAAAATAAATAAATGAAAACCTAGTTCCTTGCCTATGTGTGATGCAAATTAGCAGTCCCCCAAGTAGGCGCAACAAAAATTTTCACCTCATCCCCACAATGGATCGTCTCGAATGATAAGTAGGCGATGATGAGGAACATGGTCACCTCAAATTTTTCAAACATCTTTTAGGAAAACATAACTCAAAATTATCCACAAAGTATGTCCTATTAATATTATTTTACCATATATACACTCACATATACACACACATCATTGGTGTCAAGTGTGAGGGAATGCTAGACGTTTGGTAATTTCTCCTCCAACCCAGATAAAAGATCACATTGACGTGGGTAATCCCATGCATATTGTACAGACATCTTGTCCCACAAATTGCATAGTATCGTAAATAGCTACTCCAAGTATTACCCATCCACCATGAGACTTTATAAATAAATACAGATTTTTGGTATCATCCTCGATATTGAGATATACCATAAGACCAATAAGTTGATCTCGCTATACATATAAGAATTGATCTACTAAACAATGTTGCTTAACTTATGTTTAACAATGCTTACTTAGCATAAATTAATTTCAAACTCCATAGTTTATGTAGATCTACACTATAAATAAAATAATTTATGTGGTTTCTAGCTTATGTATGTTAAGTAGTCAAGCCTAACTATTTTCATTTGGTGGAAACAGTACATGGATCGATAGCGATAAGGTCTCGTGGATGGAAGGAAGCCCCCTTCTAGGAGGTGTGGGGAGTGAAGCTCCCGAATAAAAATTTCATCAAGGATAGTTGGAAATTTGTCTCATAAATAGAGAGTCGTCATTAGACTTTTGTATTATCATATTATAAATTGAGAAGCAAGCTTGATGTAAAATAAAAAAAGGTGTTTCTTTATTGGGTATGGTGATAACGAGTTTGATTATTATTTTCTGAGATGATCAAACTCGAAAGGTTATCGGAGCAAGAATTTGATCTTCAATAAAAGTGTATATATAAGGACATGTATTAGCACATATGTATCAAAGTTGAGTTCCTTATAAAGTAGAGGTCATAAGTTCTCATCCTGAAAGTAATCCGTGAGAGGGTAATACGTTAGATATCCTTCCAAACCGAATAATACATATGATGTAACAATTCAGACATAAGACTCGAGTTATTACAAAAATTCGACAACCTGAGCTTTGTGCGCAAACCATTATTATCCATTTTGGGAGGGCATCTGCTCTCTTATCCTCTCATAACTTTATGTCGAGTCTCTCAAGACTTAAACACTTGATATTTGCCAGTTGGATGTGACAAAAAGGTCGTGAGAGGGTAAGAGGGCAGTTACCCTCCCAAAGCAGACAATACGTACATTTTTTTTATAGTGACCTGAGTCTTGTGTCCAAACCATTATATCATACGTATTGTCCGCTTTGGAGAGCCTGTGATCTTGAATTTGAATACTGTGGAACACGATAGAAATACATGAGAAGTAAGATAGACTCAAGCTCTCCTGAAACATGCAATATATATAATATAACAATTTGAATACAGAGGATCCGGTCGTTATTTGAAATCTCCCAATGAGCAGAAACTGTCATTCTAACTCTTATCGGAGGATTCCATCCACATATACAAGGTTTTATGATTAACCGATATTGCTCAACATCTAGTTATTGCATTTATTTTTCTTATTGCTAGTCATATGAATTGAACGAATTTAGGGATTGGTTACAGTATCAAAAATCTTTTAGATACACATATTCCTCCAATGGGACGAGGGCATAAGGGTCTTTATGGCACAATCAATAATTAGCTTCATTTTCAATTAGGCCTTGCTCTAGCTTTTTAGGGGTTATTGCTTCCTTAGTAACAAGACTCTACATTCATAGCACAAGATTCTACTACTAAAGCTAGGTTATTGGAAAAAGGTAATTATTCATTCTACAAATTTCTTTTCGTTCTTGTTTCTTACTAGAGAGTTGTATGATCGTCGTCAAGAACACTTTTGGGATGGCACTTAACGCCGATATGTATGTGCAAACACATGTTCTTCTATAAGAGATATTTTTGGAGTTACGACCAGCAGGAAAAGGCCGAGGCCTGAGAGCTAATGGTGAAAATGTAATTTGAAATAGTATTTTGATGAAGAATGTGTAGTTAAAAATAAGGAAAATTTTGAATTTATGTGTAATATTATTTTATTGAAAAATGCGTGATTAAAAATAAGAGAGAAAAAAATATTTTTAAACTAATGAGAATCAAACAAGGGCTAAATATTACGTATTTAGCGAGAATATTAATTCAGTATATAGAAATCTAGTTGTATTTAAAAGTTTATAATTTAAGTGAATTAATAATAATGATCGTTTTTTGTAAATCTAAATCTAGATTATGTTATGATGGTTGAAATCCAAGCGAAGAGAGTCAATAGATTTTGAATTGTTTCCACTTCTTTCAACTACCGTATTTATTTTTCATAAAACTGCAATTCATCCCCAATGATGATACATCCCCAATCTATGTGGATGTAAATGATTGGTTAAATGATAGGTGAAATTAAATGACTTATTTAATTTCACCTATCATTTAATGCCACATAGATTGAGGATGCGTCCTCAGTGGGATGAATAGCATTTCTCTATTTTTCATCCCATTGTTTTGGATTTTTGTTTAAAAGCATTGAAATGGAGAATAAAAAATGCTTAAGGATTAGAACGAAATAAATGTTGATATATAGAGTTGGTGAAGTTTTTTGGGAATAAAATTTATGTTGTAACGTAAAACATGTTTGGCTACGTTAAAAATAAATCAAAGTTACTTTTAATTTCTTGGATAAATTAGTATATTTCTTAATTTTATGTGGAAAATATTATTTATTTTAAAACTAATTCGTACTTAGTAATTCACCTCATTTCAATTTTGATTGATAAAACAATTAATTATTACTTAAAATAATCTCACAACAAAGGGCAAAATTATATTCCACTCCAACTATTGCGGTAAATCCAAACAGGTCATAATTCGCAATACTGTATTTCCGGCGACACAGATGTCAGAGTTCGAGGGAGGAGCCGCCGCCGCCAAGGTAACGTCAATATTCATATACCCGATCAAATCATGCCGTGGAATTTCTCTTTCTCAAGCACCTATCTCTTCCACTGGTATGTCATCTCACTTTCATTTCTTTCCTTTTAATTTCTTCCAAGAGCGATTGTTAGCAGTAAAATGAACATTAACCTGTAAAACAAAATTCATTCAATCAAATTCTACACCGAAAGTGTGTAATTCCGTTTCTGTTCATAAAACCGTGGTGTATACTTTTCTATACAGTTCAGTACATTTTCCTGAGTCTCTACTAGATTATCCCTGCATTGAGGAACAATCGTAGCAGATATGCCTTTAGAGGCTTACATTTTTAGGTTAAGTCTTGGTATGAGAAATAAATAGTAGATAAAAATATCTTCCTCGAATGCATTCACAGGTTTTCGCTGGGATCGGCGGTGGTTAGTGGTGAATTCTAAAGGCAGGGCATATACTCAAAGAGTTGAGCCAAAGCTTGCTCTAGTTGAAGTGGAACTCCCAAAAGAGGCGTTTTCAGAGGGATGGGAACCGAATAATAATTCATATTTAGGTATCAAAATAGCTTTTGATTTATTTTCTTATTTCACTCTATGTATGCTCTGTGTTCTCTCCTTTTTCTTGTTTATGCTCTATTTCATACCTCTAGAAGCGAGTATGAACACTAGATTCGAGTGTGAATTGTTAATTTTAGGACCATCTTTATACTCTGACGGCTGTTCAGTCATAGCTTTATAAATCGAAGTGATTTACATTCTGCTGTAGTGATAACGGCTCCTGGCATGGATATGCTGAAGATTCCATTAGCTATACCATCTGAAACAGCAGATGGTGTCTCAGTGTGGGAGTGGTGTGGCTCTGCATTGGATGAAGGGGCTGATGCATCAAACTGGTTTTCCAAATATCTTGGGAAGCCAAGCAGGCTTGTGTGCTTTAATGAAGGTAGGGAATATACAAACAATCGTGTGCATATCTATCTGACAATCTCAACACGTGATTTATGAACTTTTTCTACGTTTTGAATGCAATTCAATCTGTTATTAACTTATTATGTTTTATGAAAGTATTCATTTGTTGATGCAAAGAAATCTTTTATAGATCTCTGATTCTTCAATTGTACACACATTAGGTCAAATATTAGAATTTAATAACAAAAACAACCAATGTATAGTAAGGATTCTGAAATACCATCCTAGAATTTATTATCTGCAATATTACTACAGTAGCATGGTATTATTATTATGCACGTAGACCTGCACACATGCATGACCTATATTCTTTAACGCAGCATCAGAAATTAGGGCTGTGGACCCTGATTATGCCAGTGGATACAAAGTTATGTTTTCTGACGGGTATCCATTCCTCTTGCTATCTCAGGTTAGTCAAATTGATAACTGAGTTAAATAATATTCATGGTATAAATTTAGTGTATACTGTATTTATTTAACCAATGTTATTTACAGGGATCAATGGATGCGTTAAATGCTCTTCTCAAGGAGCCTATACCAGTTAACCGTTTCAGACCCAAGTATATGCCTACCTTCATCTCATTATTTTATAAAGCAACTACTATGCATTATCATATTTTTGGATTAGTGTATTAAAAGCTTCCCTGAGACTGGATGCACTGAATTGTATTTCTTATTTTCTTTGGCATATTCTTTGCACATTGCTTGAGGTGAGTCATCTACAAAAATTTCCTGCAGTATCCTAGTTGATGGATGTGAACCATTTTCTGAGGATTTATGGACCGAGATCAAGATAAGCAATTTAGTTTTCCATGGTGTCAAACTATGTGATCGTTGTAAGGTAAAAGCTTTCCTTCTTTCACCTCACCCTGCCAAAAGCTTTTTCTGTCATTTAGTTTTCAAGCTCATGCATTCTAATACAGCCCGAAGGCAGCCCACAAATTGACAAAGCATTAGATGTTCTACATTGTTACGGTTGAATAAACCGTAGCCATTGCCTGAGACTAAAATGAAAAAACCAATTCTTGACCTTTCCAACTGAAACTTGAATGATGATCCTGGAAATTTAGATCAATAGTGTCAAACTTGGCAGCTGTCCAAGAAATTCAATGATACGTATAAATTTTTATTGTTATTAAGTTGATTTTTTGAGAAGTATGTGAAAAATGATTTTTTTGGAGAATGTCGGGTTAAAAAGTAGGTAAAAGTTATGGGGAAAAGTGAAAATGATTTTTTTTTTTGAGAATATGGTTGAAATTGAGTGTTGGGAAAATCAGTTTCAAAAGGGCTAAATGTGTCAGTATCCTATGAAAAAGGTTTTTTAATGTTTCAATAACCACTGATAATAGTTAGAAAATGGAGCTTGGACTACTTATATATTGAGAAAAAGGGTAGTGGATTTTCAGTGATCAGGAACATAGACACTTCTGTTCTTTTACAATATTTACACCTTAAGTAGTAGCATTATATTGGAATAAAAGTGAATAAATTCATTTTTCTTATAGTCAAGGTAGATTAATTTTTTGTATGAATTTCCCAACTGTAATGCTGATTTTTTATGCCATATGTTTACATCAATGAGTTCCATGGCAAACACCAACGAGGAAACATGCACCTGACGTGGTTTTCTGAATCACGTATGTCTTGACTACTGGAAATAAGCTGTGATAAGAAGAAAATTGAAAGCTACAATAACAATGTTCAGATTATATATTATGCAGTTAGCCAAGTTCCTTTATTAACACTACTTTTACCATAATCTTTGAAATGCTACAATAATAATCATTTTCTAAAAATTTTCTCATTATATTAGGTACCCACAATCAATCAAGAAACTACAGTAGCAGGTCCTGAGCCTACTGAGACTCTCAGGAAATTCCGTTCTGATGAACTCTTATTTCCAAATAAGAAACAACAGAAGAAGGTAAGTATTAACTTGAAAGTTTTCATGTGACTTCTTGTATCTAGCTACTTGTGTTTTTGAACTTGAACAATTTTCAGGTATATTTCGGACAGAATTTGATATGTGCTGATTCACTCGCTCAAGGAACGGAAAAGACTATCAAAGTGGGAGATCCCATTTTAGTTGTCAAAGCCGTGTCGTCCCCAGCTGATGCACCAGCTTGAACTCTTTTACTCCCCTGATTCATGGGGGGTGATATTTTACTGTTTGATCGCATAGTTCCTTGTGATTTCACAATCAGTGCACATGTGACTTATTGTACTGTAATATATGTCAGTTACATCTTCTGCCTTCTTCTGCTACAACCAAAATTACGCCAATCTTCTTCAATTGGCCATATTGCCATTGACAAATTACGTTGATCTTCTTCGAAGTCTTTTACCAAGAAATTGGGTTGAACATGTTTTCAAGACTTTCCAACTTCCAAATCTGATGAAAAATGAATAAAGTATGTACTAACCTAGCCTGATAGTGACATTTACTTTGATTTTTGCTAAACAATAATAATGTCAATGTTCATAGTAGAAAAATCTGATACAAACTTGCTCTATAAATCTCAAGAATGGGGTTATGGCTATTGTTAAGTTGTAGAGCTTGATTACCTTTGATCTTAAATATTGTTAGTTGTGAAGCCTAATTACTCTTGCAAAGTTCTATTAACGAAGTAAAGTCTTTTTAAAATTTGATTTTGCCCTAAGTTATCTTTTAAATAAGGAACCAATCTTAGACTTTATAATTATCATCAAAACGAGAAAAAGAGAGGGTAGAGAAGATAGGAGTGCAATTTTTTTCTTCTAAACCCTTTTTTTAAATCATAGTGGATTACTGCAGCGGAGGGAGAGGTGTAGTTTCACATTGAGACGAATCTCTATAAATCTTGTATGTTCTTGAATTCTACGTGCATATATTCTAATTAACTGATATTACAACATACTCTTCAAGACTTCAGATTCATTGTTAAAAGAGAAATGCTATTCATCTCCACTGGGGATGCATTCCCAGTCTATGTGGCGTTAATGTGACATTAAATGATAGGTGAAATTAAATAAGTCATTTAAATAAGTCATTTAATTTCACACATCATTTACATCCACATAGATTGGAGATGCATTCCCACTGGGGATGAATAGCATTTATTTTGTTAAAATAACTCATGCAAGATTTAGGTGGGATAGACAATGTTTAATTGTGAATTCCGTAGGCATCTCAAAGAATTGAACCAAATCTTGCTCTAATTGAAGTAGAACTGCCTATTGAAGCATTTTCTACTATTTCTGGAGTATAAATTGCTCCTTTGAACAATTTGAATATACAACACTGACAAAATTATCGTAATGTAATTTGAACATAGTAACGAGATGATCAACAAGATCAGAAAGTTAATTAGAGCCCACTGACTTCACTGTATTTCCATAAAACGAATTTGCTACCTTCAAATGTGCTAAAGACATTCAACAATCGTCTCTCAAAATAGAACTAATTTCGTCTCCTACGAAAGAAATATATCAATTTGCAGGAGTTTCAATGAAGTGTTTTCACTTCAAGAACATTATTAGAAAGAGAGAGAATGAGATTCAAAGTAGAGAATGTTTGCAATGAAAATTGTGTAATTATTCTGGCAGTAGGGTAGACTATTTATAAATTCGTCGAACATCCTTCAAACCTTTTCAGAACAGTCATAACCGTTCAAACAACCCTCCAAACCCAAACGACAGCTCTGTTCAAACTGAAACACTACTTCTATTAAGTTGGTTAACATAAGTCTGTTAAGTCGATTTAACAGTCGACCGAGACAAAAAATATCCGAGAAATGCCAATGGTAGGAAATAAAAAGTAACATTTAAAATAATTTTATGAAGTACTCAAGAATTTGATTAATTACAATTTGACCCTAAAATTTAAATGAATTTTGTCCAAAAAGATATATACACATCTGCACCTGTACACTATTCGGACCGAACCGGACTTGGACACGAGGCATGGGCACAGGCTCGTACTCGTGTCATGCCACCTATCTGATCGGACGGACGACAAGGCAGTAGGTGTGTTGGCTTAGAATTGAATCCAATTAGATATATGTCTTCCCCTTCCAAATATTACTGGTACCTTTGGGGCCCAAGTCCAATCGCCAAACTTCTACTCTATAAACTACACTAAAGTTCTCCAACTTTCCTATGTAGGATAAGTGTAGCAATTTCCAATTAAATCAAAATTTTCACTAGTTTATAGTTTCAAGTGGATTAATTTAACATCAAATATTTTATTCAACTCTAAATAGTTTTCGATAAATAAATATATCACGTTAATCACATTGTAGAGTAAAACATGAACATGCTTGGTTTTGTTAAAATGGAGTATGAGTCCTACTAAAAATGGAGCATAATTTTGACCCATTTCACTAATTTAAAATCATTTCTAACAATCCCCCCACATGAATGAAATATGTGAGCGTTTTCCAAACAACAACATCTGATATGTTTTTCAAATTATAAATGAAGAAAAACTGCATCAAGATAAATAGTCGAAGACTTTGAACTTTCCTTAAAATCTATCAAATTTACTTGGCCAATTAGTAGCACGATGCTTTGAACAGTTAGCCGTTCATGTAAATGTAGACAATAGAAGTCACACAGTTCCCTTCAAACACCATTGGTTCTCACGTTTGTGTCCACTTTGGCATTGGACATGTCCTTGTTCATGAGTGTTTTTTGAAGAATTTATCTTCACATAACTCTCGTAGAAGCACCCCCTTCTCACCCATATATGTGATCTATATAAAGGGTATTATACAATATTCTACTTGAACAAATCAAGATATGGAGATCATTAAAAGCATAACTTAACCTTTTTCATGGGAGTTAGGCACTGATTCATCATAGGAATGTGTAGAAGTAAAAAAATCTCCCCGGTGCATATTGAGGTTTTCACAGTTCGATTGTCTCATTGAACCTAAATCTTGGATCTTTAGTCAATAGGTTGGGTTGTCACCATGGAAACTCTTGATTATTTTGCTGGTTTTAACCCATACCCTTCAATAAACTTTCGACTTGGTCTCTCGTGAAACCTTTAGTTAGGGGATTTGCAATATTTTCTTTTTATTTCACATAATCTATAAAGATAATACCAGTAGAAAATAATTGTCTAACGGTATTGTGTCCACAACGTATATGTCGAGATTTACCGCTATACATAGCATTCTATGCCCTTCCAATTTTCGATTGACTATCGTAATGGATACATATCGTAGGCACACGTTTTACCCAACATGAAATATCCTCTAGAAAGTTTTAAAGGCTTTTCCCCAGCTTTATCTAACGCAATGAATTAGTATTCCATTGTTAATTTAGCTATACATGTTTGCTTTGAAGATTTTAAAGTGTAAATACATATCCACTTGTCGATTAGGAGTCTTTACTATCTTATATCTAATTTGCATCACAATATCTTTCAAGAACTGCTGGCTATCTCGAATAGTGCAATCCGAAATTTTTGTTATATTTTAAATACCTTAAAACTCTAACAATTGCCCTCTAGTGCTCAATGCCTAAATTACTCACATATCGACTAAGCCTACTAATAGAATAAGCAATATCAGGTCGAGTGCAAGTCATTACGTACATTAAATTGCCAATAATAGGAGAATATTTCAATTGCAACTTACTATCGCCATTGTTAGAAACAATATGCATACTGGCATCTATAGGTGTTTTCTTAGAAATGATATCATATTTCTTGAACTTATCGAGAATTTTCTCAATTTAGTGTGATTGAGTTAATATGAGACCATTGCATGTTCTAAAAATTTAATTCCTAACATAACATCAGCAACCTCCAAGTCCTTCATTTCAAACTTAACATCCTTTTAGTAGTTTAAATTATGGTATCATTGTTATCCATAATCGACATGTCATCTACGTATAAACATACAATGACATATCCATTTTGAGTGCTTTTGACATCATGTATTTGTCACACTCGTTAATTTTGAAACCATTTATCATCATGTCAAATTTGTTATGCCATTTCTTAGAAGTCTGCTTTAATCCTAAAGCGATTTAACAAGTCAACACACTTTCTTTTCTTGTCATGAGGCCAAAAATCCTTCAGGTTGCTCTATATAAATTTTGTCATCTAATTCACCATTCAAGAAAGCCATTTTAATATTCATTTGATGTATATCCAAACTATTCAACGCCACAATCGCAATAAGCATACGTATGGAAGCAATTCTTGTTATATGTGAATAGGTATCGAAATGATCAAGACCTTCTTTTTGCTTGTAGCCTTTTAGAGACAAGTATAGCTTTATATTTGTCAATTGATCCATATGCTTTCATTTTCTTTTTGAAAATTCATTTACACTCCCAATGACTTATTGCCGGGAGGAAGGTCTACTAATTCCCATTTATGATTTTGTAGTATTGATTCAATTTTACTATGAACTTCTTTTAAATATGAAGCTTCAGTCAATGACATAGTCTCTTTATAACTTTGAGATTCATTTTCTAATAAATATGTCAGAAAACTAGGCCTAAAGGAGGTTGTCGACCTAGCCCTTTTATTGCGTCTTGGTTCTTCTTTATTTATAGATTCTTGATCTATAACCTCTTCATTTTCACAAGGCCTCTTTAGTGAATTTTATTCACTTTGAATGTTATAAGGAATTTTTTTTTAAAAAAAATATAGCATCCCTCGATTCAATAATTGTATTAATATGCACATCAGGTATTTTAGACTTATGTACAATAAATCTATATGCATTGCTATGGTAAGCATAACCAATGAATACACAATCAATGGTTTTAGATCCCGTCTTAACCATTTTAGGTTTAGATATTTCTACATTAACCAAACATCCCTATTCCTTAAAGTATTTATAACTAGGTTTGTAACATTTCTATAATTCATATGGTATTTTGTGTGTTTTCAGTATGGTAATTTGTTGAGAATATAACGGCAGAAAGCAAAGCTTCCCCCACAAGTTATACGGCAATCCCAAACTTATCAACATAATATTCATCATCTCCTTCAATGTTCTATTCTTGCGTTCAGTAATACTATTAGATTGAGGAGAATAAGGCGTGATAGTTTGATGAACAATTCCAAGTTCCGAACGGAATTGTTCAAAAGGGGAATCATATTCACCATCTCTATCACTTCTTAT